ATCCCACCCTTCAAACCGAAACACAGCCATGCAAACACAACTACTTCACGGTTGAAACACGAATGGGACAAAGGTACCCAAACAAATATATATATCCACCGACTCCCTGCTACTTCACTACATAGTATAAAACAAAGTCGCTGTCGCTGTCTGTCCGTCCCTATGTATGTTTAAGTCATTAAAAATACGCAACGGATTTTGAAGCCGTTTTTTTTTAATAGATATAGTGATTCAAGAGGAAGGTTTATATGTATGCATACATGCATAATATTGTAGAGAAACACTGATAAGTATAGAGGTTTCTAAAGTGACGTCGTAAATAAACACGTTTATTTGCGCTTACATTGCAAACGCTGGCTGAACCCCACCCCTGATAAATCAAATGTACTACAATACTGTACACCTTAAAAAGGTCAACAAAACAGACCCGTGTGATGCCGGGGCGTGTCGCTAGTTTAATATAAGTAAATACTCATCCATGTCAGCCGTTAACTGTCCACTGTTGAACATAGAACTCCATCAACTGGGGAATTTTACCACTAGTTGCCACGCTTGGCAGACGAGTTGGCAACCGCAGATAGCTTTTAGTGACGTTTTAAGAGGAACGGTGCTGTCCATCCCTGGACTTGACTTGGACTGGAGTTTAACTTTTTCAGTTAATATTTTAATTATTGTGGGTAAAAAGTACAATATAAATAATGAAGAATTACTATACAATATGATCACACAAATATACTTACACGAATATAATATACATATATAACTTACATATACAAATATATATCATAAAAACATACATACATACATAAACATACATACACAATACTAATAAAGTAACGGTACAGATCAAAGGTGATGATGACAATGAACTACTCTTACAGCTTCTAATTATCACAAATTATCGCATATATATATGTACTATGTGAAAAGACATAGACTACTTTCTGTCTCAACATATCCCACCCTACACAGTCAAAATCACAAATAAAGTAGTGATTCATATAAAGTTACTATTTTAAAATTCCTAATTGACTGACACTTCACTTCTGCATCGAGTCTTATTAAAGTTTTAAAGAACTTTACAAATCATATTGCTTATATAAAGAGGCTAAGGGAAAAGCAAGAATTTTCCGATTTATCCCTAGAGAGGAAAAAAAGGGTAAACTGTTTGAAAGTCTTCGAGCTTGGGAATGCAACAATTCCTTTTCTAACCAATATAAAACTCAGACGTGTATTTTAATTGTTTTAATAAATAATCCTCTAGTGAGTAAAAATGAGACGTACTTTCTTTATAAGTATATACATATATATATAAAGGATGATCATGGAATGGTAACTTCGCCTGCACATTGGTATATACTGACTGAGCAATAGAGATAATAAATAAATAAGCATAAAAACACCTCTGTTGGGTCATAATAATTAATTCTTTTAAAATTAAACACGATGTTTTCCAGGGGAGACCACGTAGAGGTCGACCTGACATAGTATATTACATTGCGAATATAAGACACTATTACTAATAATCGTAATCCTCCTAACTTCGTTTAGATTGTCTAAGTTATTTTAAATTAATGAATGTGGGATTATAAATTGGTTTACCCTGGCAAAATGCATTTTCCCTTCAAAGAATGATACAGGGTATAAAGATTAACAATATGTACACAAACAAAATGAATAATTGTTTACATAAACGTAATTACATAAAAGCAAGATAAAGAGGCAACAATGGGCGGCCTTATCGCTAAATAGCAATGTCTTCCGGGAAACCTTAGAGAGATTGTGAGTGAAGATTTGTACAAAAGTCAATTGCTTGGGTACCTCTGTCCGATTCGTGTTTCTACCGTGAAGCAGTTATTTGCGTGGCTGTGTTTCGGTTTGAAGGGTGGGATATGGCGTGAATTTACAGGGTACACCTAAGTCCTCAGGAATGGCAACGCATGGAGGGTATCATGGGCAAAACAGTATACTCTGTTATATCCATGGTACTGCTCATGTCTATAGGCGACGATTACCACTTTCCATCAGGTGGGCCGTCAGCTTGTTTGCCATTCTAAGTTGTATAAAAAAAACATCATGCTGATTTCCAAGTGAATTCATCTCGATGGACTAACTGACCTGCGTTTTATTTTTCACCTATCATCCCTCACTGGTGCCCCGCCAGCATATCCCGTTAGCGCTTACGGGATTACCATTCCATTATCATTAATTAAAAAATATTTATATGAATGGAACAGAATGCTATTTGGCATTAAATCTGTCTTTTTATGTTTTTTGAAATGCGGGAATAAACGCGATCATTTAGGTATGATAATTCAGATATATTGCCATAGTTTACCAATATAGTATTATATTATCTGTGCCAATATGATCCAGTTAATTCCTGTCTCTTATAAAACATGCAGCGCGAAAGTCTAAAAGTTAATGTTGGCATTTTCTTCGCTTACTGTGAAATCATCAATAAAGTTTTATATAAATAAATACTATATACTGCGATCAATACGTAGCTGATAGAACCGTTTACTAAGAATATTGAATAATTTATATTTGTACCTACTTTTTTATACCATCGAGGTAGTAAACAAGCATACGGCCCACCTGAGGTAAAGTAAGTGGTTACCGTAGCCTATAAACATCTGCAATACCAGAGATATTACGCGTGCGTTGCCGACCCTGAAGAAACCTCTTTACCCCCATTTTGAAGAACCCCATGCTGTAGGCTCTTGGGAAAACCTCGGCAGGAAAAGCTCCCTGCCGAGGTTTTCCCATAATCTGAGTGTTCGTGGGAGGAAACATCTCTGAAACCGCGCTGTACGTGACCATTGAGGCTAATACCTACATACATACATACATATCTGTCACACTTGTCTCCTATTAGTGTAGTCAGAAGCACGTTAAATGCTTCGGTTCAAACAAGCCTCTTTCGCTTCCTACACATTCATCAATATTTTCATACACTCTCGCCGATTACGAGAGCTTAATAAAAGTCCTTTTTTAGCACTACGTACACATGTTTCGACATTTATGTAAATTTATTGCCTAAGGAGCTGATATAGCGAATAAATGTAAAAAATAGCTAAGCTTTACAATTTATTGAAGCGTATATAAAAATTCCTTTCAGTAAAAGAAAACCTTTCAATTCTAAATTGACGTTCTTATAAAAATGTGAATCGAAATATTTAAAACAATTTTATTTATTTCTTTTTAGTTATATCAGAGACTTCGTTAGTGACACCTTATAAGGCTGAGTCGTTATACTTTCTATTATATGGTTTAAAACAACGATGGCTGGCCCATTCGTCATACTCGTGAACGGATTCTTCTACTAGGAACTAGTCTATTCAAGAATACTGTGACTGATTGTAGTTATCGATATGAATTTTGTGATTTTATCCATTCATATGTATGTGATAGTCATTGAATCCACTTACATTTATGTTTGCGATAGTTACTTTATCTATTCACATGTTTTTTTTTTTTTTTTGTATAAAAACAACAGCTTAATTTCTCGCCTATTCGGCTGAAAGTGCATTCCGATCTGGGTGTTAGATTCATAAAAAATAACTACTTAAAATTCTTATAATTATGTTTATATGAATAAAATTATTTTTATTTTACTTTACTTTGTCCACGGGTCCGGGATATGTAGATTGATTGGAATAAAAGTAATATAAATATAATCTAATCTGAAAATATTGTAATATAGTTTAATTGAGGAGGAAATTCATTCATTTAAAATAGAACTTGTATATGAACACAGCAAAAACATTAATAGTAACAAACAAGTAAATAAACCAGAGGGAGACTTTGTACAAAAGTCGATTGCTTCGGTACCTCTGTCCCATTCGTGTTTCAACCATGAAGCAGTTGCGTTTGCATGGCTGTGTTTCGGTTTGAAGGGTGGGATATGGCGTGAATTTACTGGGTACAGAGGAATAACACCTGAGTCCTCATGAATGGCAACGCATGGTATCGTGGGCGAAACAGTATACTCTGTTATGTCCATGGTACTGCTCATGTCTACAGGCGACGGTTACCGCTTTCCATCAGGTGGGCCGTCAGCCTGTTTGCCATTCTAAATAGTATAAAAAAAAAGTAAACAAATTCTCTTTTCCATTCATTATATCAGTAAAGATTGTTTCCCCACGCAATCTCCGAATGCTAATCTAACAACGATAAAAAACTAGTGTACACGTAAGCGATAAGAGCACTGGCCGAGGCATGACGTAAAATATGCGGGTTAAATCCCGCCTGCTTCGAAATTTATCAATTATCAATAATTATTGGGAATATGATTTGCATAATGTAATAACATTTCTCATCGCAATTTAGATACTTTTGGCAAAATTATTCATTTTTTAATTTTTTTTTTTTAAATAAATTTATAACTAAAGACAAATTTTTAGTGACTTTAAAAAAGAGAATATTCACAATTTGTCTATCTCAGTTGTTTCATTTGTATGTTATATGCTTAGATTATAGAGAGAGAGCATCGAGCCTCAAAAACGAGTCAACGTTTTGTAAGCTAATTGTCAAATTAGATGATTCGTTTTTTTTATCAATATTTTATATATTTACGCATAAAATGTATTTTACCGTATTGTTTAATAAATAAAATTAGTGTTTACGCATTAAAAAGATGCAAACTTTATAAGACAAAATAAATATAGAAATTACAAAGGAATCACTCATAACTATTTATCACGCAAAATTGTACGAAAAAGTTGAACCGCTTTTCTCGAAGCATTTGTATGGAGATACTCTATCTATATAAACTAAGGTTATATTATATCTTTGCCAAAATCTACTTGTAGGCATTCAATTCCACATTCTAAATTCAAAATATTAAATAAAAAAAAAGCTGGCCATCCTTCGTCCTCGCTTAGTCAAATTATATTATAAATTATATAGGCTTATTCTTTGCCGGAACCACACGGCGAAAACTCACAATTTACAGTTTTTATTGTATTGTTATTAATCGAGATATATTTTCCTTACAGATTGCAGATCACTACGTACCTGACTACAAATATCCCGTTGAGGCGTACTGTGGATTTCTACTGATCCCATTAATATTCATTACACAAATAAGATATCTAAAGTTCCTAGTTCCGTTCTCAATATTCGCCAATATCTGTTTGGTGGTTACATTTGCAATAACCTGTTATTTCACTTTCACTGGTATTACTGCAAATACAGATGTAGTTTTAGTGAATAGTGTCACACAGTGGCCACTTTTTTTAAGGTGAGTTTTTTTTTATGATATACAGCTGTGTATATGTGGTAGTGAGCTAAACTGTACTTTAATTATGTGTCTAGAAAAACCCTTATCAATATTATAAATAACTGTATTCCATGGCTTCATCTGTGTATGTGAATCAATACATAGGATATCCTATGTACTAAGTATTTTTTAATATACATATATACATATGTAGTAGTGATATAAATTGTACCATAATTAATTATATCTCTAGAAATACCCTTATCAACATTATAAAAATAACTGTATGCCGCACGCAGATGAACGTGCATTAATACATAAAGTATCCTGTGTATTAAGTTAGGATACAACATACTCATGTACCAAATAACATCCAAATCTGTTCAATATATTTTATATAACAAAGTAAATGACATCCATTTATCCATTGCTACTTTTGCATTTATAATATTAATAGGATTATCATTATCATCTCGGCCATTACCCGTCTACTGCTGAACATAGATCTCCCCATAGACTGCCATAAAGAACGATCCTGAGCCACCCGCATCATTATATTACATTAATAGGATATGAGATATTAATCTTCAATCTCTGATCGTCATTAGGGAACAGAATTATTAGTCAACTAACGGCCCGTCCAGGCGTCGCACGGGTGGACATTTTTATATTTTAAAAAGTGGCTATTAAGGCTGCACACGCGACGGAAGCTTAAAAATGGATTAACTTCTCTCCCATTTTCGCAACATTTCCCTTCACTGCTCTGCACCTATTAATCGTAGCGTGATGAAAAGTATACTGTACAATTATTCTTCATACTCCTGAACAGGTCAGGAGTATGAAGAATAATTGTACCAAGTTTCGTTAAAATCCGTCGAGTAGTTTTTGTTTCTATAACGAACATACAGACAGATATCACCCCCTGATAGTTATTTTGGAAATATATTTCATGTACAGAATTGTCCTCTCTACAAATTTATTATAAGTATAGAAGATTAATAACATTGACAGAGTCTCTCCTACATATCTATAATCCTCAAAATAAAATTTTGGTAATCGCATGCCGAATAAAAAAAAATTCGTTAATTTAGTCCTCTACGAAATAACATTAAGTATAGGAGGGGGAAAGGGCTTGTTAGTAATGCGGACTATCAGTCCCATTGCTAACAATATACCTTATCAGGTCGACCTTCACGTGGTCCCCTTCTGGAAACCATCGTGCTGAATTCCAGGTGTATTCATCACGATGGCCTAACTGACCAGCCTTTTCATTCTCATCTATCATCTCAGACTGGTGCCCCGCCAGCGTATACCATTAGCGCAGACGGAGTTACGATTCCATTATCATCTATTAAAAAAAAAAAACATTAAGTGTAGTAAAATACACATAAATTTTATACCAGTTTGTTTAAAAACTAAAGTTTGCTACTGTACAATATTTTTAAATAATTTTAAGACGTGTCTCTTGTGAATATATTTTCTTTCTTAAAAACTAAACTGCTAGAGTTTTTGCCAACTGGCACGCCTCAGTTATATTGTATAGCCAAGATACCTACAAGTAACTAAGTACAATTTATCTTGAAAGTTTTAAAACACACTTACCGAGCTCTTATGAGATGTTTAGGTTTAAAACAGTGATAAATTGCAACGCTTTACATTAATACGTACCTAATTTCTGGTTCATATTTATTCTACTTACAAATTGAGTCCGCAATTTTAGTAAAAACATATTATAAAAGCGTTTGTTATAGAATATAAATGAACTGTAATTAATCTTTTTAACCGATTTGGAAAAGATTAAATAGCAGCTATATTTTTAATCATCATCATCATCATCGTATCAGCCTTTTATTTGTTCACTGCGGAACATAATCCTCCTCCTTTGGTCCCAGCAGTTGCCACACTTGACAGACGGATTGGCAACCGTAGTTAGGTTTTAGAGATGTTTTAACAGGGACGCTGCAGCCTATCCCTCGTCCTCCCTTAGTCGCCTCTTACGACACCCACAGAAAAGAAAGGGGTGGCCTATTTTATACCGACCATATATTTTTTTATGTCCATTGTTAAATTATTTTTAACTAGCTATACCCATGGCTTCGCCCGAGTGAATTAGTACATAAAATATCCTATGTGTTAACCTAATCGTGTACCAAATTTTATTCCAATCTGTTTAGTTATTTTTTCGTGAGAGAATAATACACTTCCATTCATTTTTCCTTACAAACTTTTGCATTTATTATATTACCATGATTATAATAGTATGATCATTGTTTGAGTCATACATTGTTTTATTTGCTCATCTAATAATTCAGTTAATTGTTTGTTATAGTAATATTTTATGTATTTATTATATGTATTTATTTATATATGTACATATTTACATTTATTTTTATTAATGTATATATTTACATATTATGTGTATATTCACATAAATCTAATTATATGTTTATAATATATAAATATATTAAAAATTACTTTATATTTCCTTAATTCAATAATGCACCGCCTACTTATTTCACGGTTTGCCTAATGGTTGACTGGTAAAAAACACCGTCTGGCGTTAAGTCAACGAAATGTACTCAGAATTTCACTATGAATTCACTTCCTGATGCCATTAAGTCACTACCGACTAAACCGTCTTTCAAAAAAAAAACGTTCACGCTCACTTTTTTACTTTATCCGAGCAGTAAATGCTTTATATTATTTTCAATTTCGTGTATAATATCATATATGTCATATATGTGTAAGTATATTTGTTATTCATATATATGTAATTTTAGTATGTATGTATATCAATAATTACTAGTACCGCATTCGAGTATTCTGACACTACCCTATGGTTGACTGGAAGAGAATACTTTTAGCATTAAGTCCGCCATGTACACATATTTGTATTAATAAAAAAAAAGTTTAAATTAATAATTGTTCTAAACTATAAGGTTTCTGTGTTCCACAGGAAAATGGCCATGTTCAGTAATGGTGTATTAATGGGTTATTACTTTAACTTATGCTATTACCATGTAGTTTAAAACCCACTTATGGTATAATAGAGCCTATTAAACCCTTATATTAATAGGTTATTTTGATTAGTTATTTAATACATCAGTGACACCTAGATTCTGTATTTGCCTATAAATTATTAATACAAAAGCTAAATACATATCAAAATAGAGTACTTGTAATTGCTGGATTTCAGCACATTAAAATATCATACTTTGATTTTATTATTTATTTATAAGCAATTTTAATGTTTTTTTTTTTTTTGTTATTTGTGTATTATGAATATTATATATAGGTCATACAAATTTTATTAAATCTATGTTTTATTTGTGAAAACCTATTGGCTTTTTATCTTTACTATTGTTTTTATAGTGAAACTTTATAGTTTTTGGTTAATAAAATAATAATAATAATAAATATTAATATATTTTATTATGTATTTACACTATGGTATCAATATCTTCTATACTTTCATACACTCTGACAATTTTTTAATTTTTCACAGTCAATTAAAAAAAGGCCACGTCATTGACTATATTTTTAACGATTTTTAACTCAAAGTTTTATTACGTGGGAGACAGGCGTGACAGATATGTATGTATGTATGTAACATTTTATTTCTTTTTCCGTCCAGAACAGAAACTTTTTTTATACCACTAATGTGGCAAAAAGCATACAGCCTGTCTGATGATATACGTTTACTGTAGCCTATGGACGCCTGCAACACTAGACGTGTCATGTGCGCGTTGCCGACACTGAACAAACCTAAATTTTGAATACCCTTTTTGAAAAACTTTATTTTACTTTCAGTACAGCGATTTTTGCGATGGAGGGCATCAACGTTGTCATGCCGATTGAGAATGAAATGGCGCGTCCAGACCGCTTCCTGGGCTGTCCAGGAGTACTGAATACCACCATGATATTTGTCGCCATTTTGTATGGGGTGACCGGCGCGTTTGGATATTTACGGTATGGGAACGAGGTACAGGGAAGCGTGACACTCAATTTGCCACAGAGAGATACGTGAGTAATTCTATTTTATTTTTGACTTCAAACGCAAAAAAGTGGTTATAAGTTTGACGTGTCTGTATGTCTGTTTGTAGCATCGTAGCTCCTAAACGAATGGTTTTATGGTTTGAAAGCTAGTGTGATCGAAATGGTTATTAGATACAATAGCTAATGAGAGTTGGTAAATGTAAATCTTTACATTTTTTTTTATACAACTTAGAATGGTAAACAAACCGTCGCCTATAGACATGAGCAGTACCATGGACATAACAGAGTATACTGTTTCGCCCATGATACCTCCCTATGTGTTGCCATTCCTGAGGACTCAGGTGTTATTCCTCCGTACCCTGTAAATTCACTGCCATACACCACCACTCAAACTGAAACACAGCCATGCAAACACAACTGCTTTATGGTAGAAACACGAATGAGAAGTTTCCCTCTGGTACATTTGCCAATTCATAAAAATAGAACTCATATACGAATATTATTAGTACCAGAGGGAGACTTTGTACAAAAGTCGATTGCTTGGGTACTTCTGTCCCATTCGTGTTTCAACCATAAAACAGTTGTGTTTGCACGGCTGTGTTTCAGTTTGGATATGGCGTGAATTTACTGGGTACGGAAGAATAACACCTGAGTCCTCAGGAACGGCAACGTATGGGGGTATCATGGGCGAAACAGTATACTCTGTTATGTCCATGGTACTGCTCATGTCTATAGGCGACGGTTACCACTTACCATCAGGTGGGCCGTCAGCTTGTTTGCCATTCTATGTTGTATAAAAAAAAATATTATTAGTAACAAGAAACTGATTATAAAGAAAGGTTAATAAACTCTAATATTTAGAGATCAAATCCTTAAACTTATATTAAGTTTGTTCACAATAAATTTAATTTCATTTACGAAGAAATTCATCAACGTATGCTCAAAAAATTTCATTCATATATTGGATAAAATTATATTTTATAAAATCACAAACAAAATTCAACCTAGCTGTTATCATAATTAGTAAACATAATTGCGTAGCACGATAAGTATGATCGAATTGGGAACGTACTTCATTTAAAGTAGATTGAAAATACACCTTTATAGAACGAATAAAATGTAATATAATACAAGTTGTTTATTGTAGCGTATAATAACAAATCTATATTTAATTCTAGTGGAATTTGGCCCCTTTCTCTTTAATGTTTTAAGGCGGATGTAAAAGTACGTACTTGAAATGAGGAGCGCTCATTTAATTGTTGATGCAAAATTTAACCTCATCAGAATAACCTGTTAATTAAAAAGAAATACTTATTTATTTATTTTTTCATAGAAAAACCAGGGCTGCACTACAGCAAATAGATACAGTTTTAGGATAACAAAATAAGCCACTAATAGGTTTTCACAAGTAGCAACAATATAGATACAAGGCGCTATACACGAAGCAACAAAAATACGAGTTAACAAAAAAAAGTGAACAAACAAGAGGAATAACCAACAAAAAAAATGACAAGTAAAATACAAATTAAAGATTAAATGTAAATATTTGACCAAAATATGGCCTTTTTATCCATACAATAGTAATTACCAGAGGAAGACTTTGTACAAAAGTTGATTGCCTGGGTACCTCTGTCCTATTCGTGTTTCAACCGTGAAGCAGTTGTGTTTGCACGGGTGTGTTTCGGTTTGAAGGGTGGGATATGGCGTGAATTTACTGGGTACAGAGGAATAACACCTGAGTCCTCAGGAATGGCAACGCATTGGGGGTATCATGGGCAAAACAGTATTCTCTGTTATGTCCATGGTGCTGCTCATGTCTATAGGCGACAGTTACCACTTTCCATCAGGTGGGCCGTCAGCTTGTTTGCCATTCTAAGTTGTATAAAAAAAAAATCAAACTGACTATGAACAAAAAAATTGCTTACTCAGTTGGTTTCTCACTGATATTATATTTTTGGAAAATAGATCGATATTAAGAGTCCTAGAAAGAGTATTAAAGTTGTTGCTAGCTCGCCAATTCGATTATTTCCAAAACGATATTGTAAAATTAAATTCTATGTAAATAATTACTTAACTATAGGCTTTAAAACTTTCTAATCTACCCTTTCAATTCATTACCTTGCAGTTTTCATTCTTATTCTAAAACTAGCTGTTCCCCGCGACTTCGTCCGCGTTTCCGTCATTTTCCGTACAATAAGTAGCCTATATCCTTCCTCACGGTTCAGTGGTTTTGATGTAACAGACACATTTACCTTCACTGCTCTGCTCCTATTGATCATAGCGTGATGAAAAGTATAGTATTACCTGCCCAGGAGTATGAAGAATAATTGTACCGAGTTTCGTTAAAATCCGTCGAGTAATTTTTGTTTCTATAACGAACATACAGACAGACAGAGAAAAAATTTTACTGATTGCATTTTTGGCATCAGTATCGATCACTAATCACCCCCTGATAGTTATTTTGGAAATATATTTCATGTACAGAATTGACCTCTCTACAGATTTATTATAAGTATAGATAGAAGATAGATTGGAAATCAGGCCATTCAGAGGGAACGAATGGATACTTTATGAGGTAACCTTAAAGTCTTTATTCACTTGCTCTTATTATAAAAAACATAATTCATATATCACAATGTGACATTAAGGATTGAGCGAGAATCACATTTATCACTCGTCGCCTGTAATATCACTGTAGTCAATAAAAATAATAATTTAACTAAATAATAATAGAGTTTTTTTTTTTATACAACTTAGAATGGCAAATAAGCTAACGGCCCACCTGATGGAAAGTGGTAACCGTCGCCTATAGACATGAGCAGTACCATGGACATAATAGAGTATACTGTTTCGCCCATGATACCCCCCATGCGTTGCCATTCCTGAGGAGTCAGGTGTTATTCCTCTGTACCCAGTAAATTCACGCCATATCGCACCCTTCAAACCGAAACACAGCCATGCAAACACAACTGCTTCACGGTAGAAACACGAATGGGACAGAGGTACCCAAACAATCGACTTTTGTACAAAGTCTCCCTCTGGTAATTATTAATAATAGATTAAAAGTAGCAATAATTAATAATAAGCGTTAATTGTTCACTGCTGAACATAGCCTTCCCATAGGTTTTTACCAGTAGTAATCATTTGTTGCTACGCTTGGCAAGCGAGTTGGCAACCGCAGCTTGGATTTTGATGATATTTTAAGAGCGACGCTACAGCCCATCCCTTGACTATAAGCTGCCTTAGTCGCCTCTTACAACATCCACGGGAAAGGATGGGGTGACCTATTCTATACCGGGACCTACACGGTACAATAATTATACACGCCGCAAGGAAATACGGAAACTAAAAAAAGTATTTCCATTAATTAGCGAACATAACCTAATTCTCGGTAATGTCGAACATGAAGATAATTATTTTTGTATGGGTAGGCTTTTGTATGGGTTTTATTCCAAAAAGGTAGAAAAGGAAATTTGTCCTTCTGTCAATCTATCGTAGAGCTATATTCCAGCGACTACCTAATAATGTTATCGATTTAAAATTTGTAACATTTTAAAATATAATTGGCTCGTTTAAATCGTAATAGAAATGATTGAAAAAAATCTTTACAAAACTGTCCAAAAGAGGTACTCAATATTTCAAAATGGTAACGTGCTAAGGTAAGATAATAACCTATCTATGTAACAAATTTCATTTAAATCCGTTCAGTAGATTTTGCGTGAAACAGTAATAAAATATCATGCGTATATCCTGACAAATTTGCGAGTTCATAATACTCGTAATGGTAGAATTCAAACAAATGTTTATAGTATAATTAAAACAAAAAGATATTGGCATATTCTTTTATATACGGAACCTTCGATATACGAGTTCAATTCACATTATATCACTGTTTTCTTATTAAAGCCAAATTCTTAGAATGCAATTACGTGCTATTAATTCGCCCATTCTTTCCCTCCTTGTAAACAATTACCCCTTCTATCTTATAGGAATTCGAGTCATGTACAACGCAAAAAGTTAATTTTAACAAATCCTTTATTAATTTTCTAATAAACATTGTTCGCATTCAGTATGCGGTGAATTTTTATTATATAACGTTTTTAGATAATAAATAAGTGAAAGGAAAATAAAAAAGTGACCTATAGTGGTAAGCTACCCGGACTTGCAGACCTGAAAGAATGCTTGTTTGAATCAAAAACTTTATATCTTAATTTATTTCTCGACTGATTGGCCAGTGAGAAAACACTGTTAACATACTACATTCAAAATTAAAATTATCTTGATTAAAATGAACTTGTTTATAAATACTTACATTTTTAATTTACTGCAGAGTTCAGAAGGATATTGAGAAGAGCCCGCAGGAAACTCGACAGTTATTGTTACAAACTCCTTAGTTATTTTAAAGATTTTATTTTTATCGTATTTTTATACTTTTCTGTTTTTACAATTGTCACTTAGCTCTTTTCCGCTGTCGTAGTCTATCTTCCGTAGTTTTCTTTATTATAGTTATTTTCCATTAAACCTATTGTTTAATTATATCAAACAAATCAATATACAAATCCACATCCCACCCTTCAAACCGAAACACAGCCATGTAAACACAACTGCTTTATGGTTGAAACACGAATGGGACAGAAGTACCCAAGCAAACGACTTTTGTACAAAGTATCCCTCTGGTAGACTTGTTTACAAGCTTTTTTAAATCGTCAATTTTTTTTTAATCTACTGCAGGGTTCAAAAGGTTGTTATCTGTTGAGAAGAACCCGCAAGAAACACAACAGTTACTCTTTTAAATCTCTGTGAACATTATGTGTATTTATTTTTATGTACTGTGTCTAAAATTGCATGGTCGTTAAAAGCCCGTGCATGATCTACTGACACCACGTTTGTCATTTAAATAATCGTTTAGTGTATAATAAATAGACTTTGTTCAAGAAGTGTTTTTAATAACAGTTTTAAATTTATTAGAAGACAGATCCAAAATATCCTTCGGTATCTTATTATAACATTTAGTGCCCATTTCCATA